CTTATGTGACCTGGGTTGTCGAGATTCGACGAAATTAAAGTGTGTGTTTCCCTGATATGCTTATCATTTGAAGTTTGATTCATCTACCACTTGTTCCCTTTTAAGTGGTGATGTAATCACTGGTTCACATAGACGTGCGCATGGTCGCCCTTCTTTTTAGTTGAGAATCCATTTTTATCATTTATGTTTCTTAATTATTTTTTACTCTTTTACGTATTCTCTGTTGTTGGATGTCACTTTGGACTGAAAGTTGTGTATGATTTGATTTACAAAAGTATTCGGTGCGTCTGTTTAAGGAATTGGAGTAGTGTGATGTGAATCGTGACGTTTGTCATTGTCGCTTCTCAGTTCGGAGATCAATCAGAAAACCTATGGAGTGTTCTGAACACTCCATTGTTGCTCTGAACAATGGAATGGATGAGCTTCCATTGTTCCCATTCCATTTATTCATCACCAGAAAATATCAATCATTTCACCGTCCGTATTACAAGTCCAAAGTGAATGGAGAAATCGTTTGGCCTTCCTCGCTTCCTTCGAATATTGATTTACCTCTCCGTAATTTTTCCAACCAATGCAAGCTTCCATTTTGTTTTTGGCCTTTAGATCGAAACTGAAATTATGTGGTTTTTTCAGTCACCCGGAAGCATACTTTCTGTTGCCAGTGCTAATTATTATCCTCTTCTACTGCTTTTCTTCTGCAGCTAGCTGTGCTTTTACTTTTAGCAGTTGCTAGTGCTTTTGATTGCGATGAAAGGAGTGATGGGTATTGTAAGCACATGAGTCGATCGACACCAAGACCACACAGCGTTACCATAACGGAGTTTGGGGCAGTGGGAGATGGAGTGACTCTGAATACGGTTGCCTTTCAGAATGCTGTTTTCTATGTCCGGTCATTCGCTGACAAGGGTGGTGCTCAGTTGTATGTTCCTAAAGGGAGATGGCTGACAGGAAGTTTCGATCTAACCAGTCACCTAACTCTGTTCCTCGACAAAGATGCAGTTATAATCGGCAGTCAGGTGTTGATCGCAACACATAGACATCTACTTTTCATGGTTATCCTCCATTTTTGTCTGCATTTGTTGTTTCAAATGCTAGCTTCATGCATATCCTATCTCAGATTACAATAAGATCTTTTATAATTATATTAGGCATGAATAGTGTACTGCCACACTAACATCAATAATATTATCCATAAATCACCATTCACAAAACCTTAAAAAGGTATGAAGGGAAGCAATAGAACCAATTATGACAGGGATCATGTTTACTCTACTCCTGTCTATGCCTGGCCTTACATAAAATTCTATGCTGGAACCACTTTCTGTGCATTGGCAGTTGCGGTCCATGATAGCTAAATGCCAGTAACGTTTGTCTTCCCTACCTTCTTTATTTTATGTATGGACCTTAGCACATTTGTATATCATTTCAATTGTGCCTTACATATTATTATGTGGATGATATTATGCTTCTCTTAACTATAAGTTATCATACATCATATTTTAACACTTTTTGCTATCAAAAACTGGAAATTATAACAGGCCTGGATTTGGAGACAATCAATTACACCGAGTGGAGCCAGTTGCCATTTTCTTAAAATTCATGGAATCATATACATTATGAATTGAAAGTCTCATGTAACTTTATCAATTCCAAAAACTTTAAATTGCTACAGTTTGAAAATTAATAGCTTTTGCCCCTTTTTTTTTAATTTTAGGATGCATCTCAGTGGCCTCCTGTTGAGCCTTTACCCTCGTATGGTCGAGGGATAGACCTTCCAGGTGAAAGGCATCGCAGTTTGATAAATGGATACAACTTGATTGATGTGGTGATAACAGGTATGTTTTGTTTAACACTTTGGTTGATTGATCTCGTTCCTTGTTTATGATTGCAAGTTCTCATCATTTTGTCTACCATGCTCGAATTGATTTGTGGAACAGGCAATAATGGAGCTATTGATGGGCAGGGTTCTGTTTGGTGGGAGTGGTTTCGTTCCCATACCTTGAACTACAGTCGTCCTCATCTTCTTGAACTAGTGAGTTCTAGTGACATTGTGGTTTCAAACTTAACCTTTTTGAATCCCCCTGCCTGGAGCATTCATCCAGTCTATTCCAGGTGTGTTCTAAAACTATTTGTGTTTAAATTTGTCAAGAAATGTTGAGGATTTGTATGCATCTATGGATATTTACTCTTGTCTGTGATGCAGCAATGTGACGATCCAGAATATAATCATCCATGCTTCATCTGATTCCCCATATACTGATGGTATAGTACCAGGTAAGAATCAAATCTTTGAATCAATGGCCATCTTTCTTTTTTATGGTCTTTTTCCTTGTTTATCAATGCTTATAATACATAGAATTTCTAGAAGAAGTTCAAGTTTAGTTATAAAGATTCATATATATTACTACAGTTTACTGATGGTTTTTAAGCGATTCTCTAGGATTCTACAGTCATTATTTTCTGTTTTATGCTGTGCTAAGGCAAAAAGATCATTATCTTCCTAATCCATTATAATGACATAAAGATATGGGACGCAAGTGTTTGAAATGGTTTGAGCCCAGTGCATGACTTGCTATAGTGTATATAATCTGCATGATTCTACCATTCTAAGGCTCAAGGTATTACAAAATGGAGAAACCTTTTTGCTGCTTCATTCTCCCAAACTCGACTCATCCAGCATAGACTTATTAGTTTATGTGTGCAACAGATGCTCTGATCGAATATTAACTTTCCAGAATCCTTTCTTTTTTCAAGAACCATACATTTTGCTTGATCCTGCATCCTTGTATATTGCTGCGGATTGTCCTTTACTTATAAAATCCTCTGTTAAGTTATTATACTATACCAATTCAAGCTTTTCAATAAGATTCCATTTATCAGCACTGCCGGTCCAAATTTTGAATCTTTATATATGTGTGATCCTCAGTTCTAATCTGACCATACTACATGTTTTCAACCCCTGCTTGAGTTTAACAATGACCTTCTGTGAGTGATCATTCTTTTGTATGATTAAGCCTCTTATAATGCTATAATCGGCAAATTGATTCTGCGTCTGACTCATCTTCTTGCTGCAGATTCATGTTCAAATTTCCACATCGAAGATTGCAGCATCAGTGTCGGACATGACGCAATTGTTCTCAAGAGTGGTTGGGACAGCTACGGTATCTCTTTTGGCAAACCTTCTTCGAATATTCAGATCAACAATGTCCATCTGCAGACATCTCTTGGTTCAGCACTTGCTTTTGGCAGTGAGATGTCTGGTGGCATCTCAGACGTGCGTGTGGAGCATCTCTATGTCCGCAATTCTCACACTGGCATAAACTTCAAGACCACCCGCGGGCGAGGTGGCTACATTGAAGATATTGTCATATCAGATGTGAAAATGGAAAATGTTCATGAAGCAATTCAGTTCACAGGTTACTGTGGGGCCCATCCTGATGACCAATATGATCCTGATGTTCTCCCGGTAGTCAGGCGAGTCACCATAAAGGATGTGGTCGGTACCAACATCTCAAACGCCGGAGTATTTTCAGGAATCGATCATGATCCCTTCACTGCCATCTGCCTTGCGAATATCAGTTTGCCTATCACCTCAGACCTCTCTGATCCCTGGACTTGTTCCAATGTCGCTGGATTCTCTGACTCGGTCTTTCCACAGCCATGCTTGGACCTGAGCTTGAATTCTTCTCTGTTCTGCTTCTCCCTTGAAACCTTTAGAGCTATCGCGGAAATCTAGTGATATCTTTTTGCAGTGCGAGTACCATTTGTTCATTCTCCTCTGTACAATCGAAAAACTTGAGCTCATCAATATTTGTGCCAATTCTTTCCAATAAATCCCAACAAAAGTGAATACCTTTTCATCTCTACCATCGGTTTAGCGCGTACTGTTTGCCATAGTACCCAAGTTGAGGGTTGTTCTGTTCCCAGCAAACAAATATTCCACATCAGAGATGATAGCGTGCTTGCTTGTACAGCTAGATTTCTTCATTCAAAACCTGTAAGAAAAATTTTTGATTGGTGTTGGAATTCAGATGTTTGATTGATATTGTAATTTGTCATTATCCTATTGGTCTTGGTTAGTAGTTTGTATATTTTTATCCTGTGTGTGGGAATCCAGAACGGAAATCAAATCAGCCATGGAATGATTAGTGTATTCCATGTTACTACAATAAAGAAGGGGGAAAAAAAAGAAAGAAAGGTGCGGTTCCCTCTTCAAAACTGAAGTAACAATACCTTAACACTAATGATTGTTAGTGTCTCCTCTTCGGGCGTCCAGCATGTCTTCACCTCTAAATGTCAGGCTGTCAACTTTCAGCAGCTTTCGATGATGAAGGGTGTTGATCCACAGGTTGTGCTTCCCACATTTTAGGTGGCTTCAAAGTCTATAATACTGCAGGAGAAAGCAACAGATTTTATATAAGCAAAAGACATAACCCAACCAACATGCACGAGATATTGCATGCATGTCGTAGCCTTGTGCTTCTTTCGGACACTTGGAAAGAGTGACCGACTTCAGAGCTTCCCGAGAGAAGAAACCTTCACCGAGTGATTTCTTAGCGCGCAGCATATGTTCAGAATAGAACACTCTCAGTCCTCCTACATCTGAAGTTTTTCTTCTATGACCATTAGATCTCGTCATCTCACTCGGGATGCTTATCCTATTAATGTGGTCGGATGCGTGATTTTAATGGTAGTCAGAAAAAGAAATCCAAATAAAACATCACTGGATGCTTGCTCCATGGACAGTCTACTACGACGGTTCCAAGTGGTGGGATGCTCCACGTTAAGACGCTTGCCAAATGACTTTATTTTTGTTTCAGTCGATTTCGGGCTGTGATAGCTTCTGGTATTCGCTGCATTCAGACTGCAGAGTTCGATAGCCAGAGAGATGCTGCATGCATGCATGGGCCATTCTCTAATAGCATATGCGCTATGTCAATCTTTTACGTACTTTGCGCACCATACACACACACACACACACACACACGCCGTATGTTTCGCACTCCAAAATGATATTTTAATTTTCAGTCCATTCCAATGGGATGAAAAATGATTCGACATAAAGTCAAATATCATGAAGGCTTGGTGATCTTGATCGTCCACCACCCAACACAAACATTCACAAGACTAGGAGAGGAGAGGTCTCTCTCACAATAATAATATCAACAACAACAATAAAAGACTGAAGAAAAATAGATAGAAAAAAAGTTACTATATGCACCACATCTTGTTTTCATTTTCTTCTTCTCTCTAACCTTTTTCTGGTTCCTCATCCATCCCTTCACTTCTTGTTCGGAGTGCACGCAAGGCAAATGAACTGATTGGCCAATGGATCCAACCCCTTCAACAGATCGATAGATAGATAGATAGATAGAAAGACTAGCCTTGTGCATAGACCGAGATGACCACCGTGTAGACAGACACGACCAGCTGGAGTTAGCAGCTACCGACGAACATGAGTGAAGAGCTCTCAATCTCTCCTGCCATTAATATCAAGAGAAAAACCAGGAAATCTCCAGCCATGCATTCTACCATCAGTCTACTTTCTGCTTCCCGTTTTCGCATTGGGCCTTCGTTTCCCATCGATGCCACCTGAGATTGGCTGTCTAGTGGAGCGGCTCACTGTTTGGCCAGGCGCATTCGATATTTTCCTCGATGGAGATGGCAAGTGGCTGCGACTTGCTGACCTGTATTCACAGCCGATGAAAGGATTACAAACATTTTATCAAGTGCTCACAGTGAAAAGGATCGAGAAGCCAAATCTTGCTTATGATCACGGCCATGTACTGTTGAAGTACATTCAGTTCACTACTACTCTTCGGTGATAACAGAAAATAATATATTTATGCAATGGTAGATAGCTAGGCAACTTTTGTTGTTCAGTTAGAGCAAGAACCAAGACCTAACATAGGATGCACTTTAATCTTAGTACTGCAGGGGTGGTTTGCTGCTTTAAAAGTCATGACGTGCTCTACCTTGTGCTCTAATGCAAGTTGTTTGATATTAATAGTGTGTGACTCACAAATTAGACGATCTATTCTAGCATAAAAATAAAGATCGTGTTCTACCGGTAGTGCTCAAATTCGTAGCAACTGAATTACCTTACGTCGGAGCTCTTCACTGAACCTGACTGAGGCCGCTTGATCCTATCGACTGCATTGCTACTTTTTGGGAGATTGGACTGCGATAGCACATCTTGCTCTGAAGATTCACTTGTTGCAAAATCCAAATCATCCAAGTCCTCAGTTGCTATACAATTAGCCCGACTTCTGTGCTGATCCCCGAAGGCTCTCACATCAGGAATATATCCCTGGTAAAATGAATCTGGCACATGTGGGTTATCTCCTTCCCAGGCACTCAGGGCATCCTCGTTCTGGATGACATCCTCACCCGTTTCTTTGCTTCCAAACTTCAAAAGTTTGGGATATCTTTCTGGCCAAGAAGAAGAATCTGACGCTGTCAAAAGGTCTTGGAGATCCATATCTGCTCGCTCCTGCATGAGTGCTGAACAGCTCCGCACCTGAAGTGTCAAGAAACAACCCAGAATTAAAGCATCAGATCCAAGAGCTCTCAATGGAAACATCTTTGTCACCATGCATTGAGATGAGAGAGAGAGAGAGAGAGAGAGAGAGAGAGAGAGAGAGAGAGAGAAGAGAGAGAGAGAGAGAG